TCAATTAAGGACTGCCTTTCACTGTCTGCCATCAGTTGTGGAAAGGCAGTTATCCTTAAAGTTCATAAAGTAGAAATGCAACCATCCTAAAATTTCTACTATATGAAATTCCCAACCTCCACCCTTACAAAAATATGTTAAACTGAACTAACTTATCTTAAAGGGAACTACAAACCATACCTTAGTAGGATGTTTATATATAGTAAAAAATTCAAATCAGAAACATTTAATCTAAAGCTATTTACCCCCTTTTTTTACCTCCATCAGTTGTATGTGCTTGTTAATGGTGTATTATTTTTCATAAATTAATGTCTTAAAATCCATGTATAAACTTTTAGCAATATATGCAAAATAGGCTACTGTTGTAGCCATTTGATAGGCTTTTGTTGGTCATGAGATATTAGAGAGGATTGTGTAAAGTTTTGCTTTCATATTGATGTTAAGTTTTTGAGGGACATTAAATTTACAATAATACATGAAGCAAGCAACCGGTTTTTATCTGTTTCATAAGTAAGGTATATGCTGTTCTTTCATCAGTGTTACTTTTGTTAACAATATTGGTTATGATGTTTGATATATATATATATATATATTTCTTTTTTATCATTTCTAATTTTGTTATTATATTTCTATTATAAAGATTATTTTGCATTGTTAGTTTAGTATCTGTATTTAGGACTAACTTAAAACTCCAAAACTGGCTGAACCTTATGAGATTTATTAGGATTATGGCCAAAAATATCACTAACAGTGAGGTAACCCAACTGAAGAAATAATATATTCTAAACTTTATATGTAATAATGTAGGAACAATGTGTTTAATTATCTGTATTCATACTGGGTGGAATTTTAGTTATGATCTATCTAGGTAGCTTTCTTTGATCAGAAGTTAATATTAGTTTGTTGAAAGTACTGTAGAATTTAAAAAATTACCATTTGTACATTCAGGCACGAATTTCACATTTATATTGATTTTATCATATCCAGTACAATGAAATGTATTGTCATGGAAGTTAAATTTTTATTTTGATGTTTTTTTGGCAAGAGTTCCTGCCACTGACATTTCTTTAATACACCCAGCTTTACTTGTTAAAGTAGAATAATTATTTTTACTTGTCCATCTCAAACTTTATATAAAAAATGTAAGTTTTCAAACTAGCTTCAGTCTTGTATTTGAGTTAATTTTTCTGCTAATTAACCATAAACTTTGCAGTTAAGTATACACTTGTTCAAATTTTACAAAAAGAATGAAACGTGTTTTTGCACTTTATGGAAAAGTGGGAACTTTGGTTAGCAAAACATACATTGTATATAAACCTTCAAAAATATGTAACTCAATGTGTTTTCAGGTAGGACAGGAATAACCATTAAAAAAAGTTATATGAATTGTAAAACTTTAAATCAACAATATTTTAATGTAAGCTAATTGTTTTAGATATTTTGAATTAATTTTTACATACCCTTCTCGTGCATTACTTATTTTAGTACTGGTTTGTGGGAATTATCTTTAAGACATTCAAGTGTTTAGTTTTTGAGTGACATTGAATTACTTTTGACATTTAAAAAGACAGTGGTGGGCATAGCCCGAGATATTAGTTGTTAGTTAAAATTATAAAGATGTAACTTCTGTGTATTAACGCTGAAATTGCTACACTGTTTGTAATGTATGGTATTAAATTTCAGAGGCATCTGCAGAATATGCTCAATGCAGGGGGACAAGTCCACCCAGAAATGTCTGAGGCAGAGGCTATGTCATCCATCATCAAAGGCCATCAATCCATGATGACTGTTCTTCAACACAGATGTAAAAACTTACACATAGTTTTTGCCCAGTGGTCATCAAAGGATGCAAAAGTTAATATTACCATTACCTAAATATTTAACCCCTAGTCAGACCTTTGAAATATTCTGTGATATATATTTTCTTTAGAAACACATTTATCCAGCCCAGGCATGATCTAGTTGTAAGCTTTCCCAGACTATGAATCAGAGGATTCATAGTTCATGATGCATTGCTGGAATCAACATTTTTAGTACAGTCATTTTATGAAAAAATAAGGGCAAACCCATCACTAATTACAACAGAAAATAGTTCAACTGTTTTCAAATCAGCAATATGTTCTCTGTAAAATATCAAAGTCTCAGTGAGTTGTGTTTGAGGAAAACCCTGAAAATGGCAAAAAACAAAATGGCCACCATCTGCGATTTAAATCATCCTAATTATCCATCCATTGCATTTCTTAAAGCCAAAACTATAGGGAAATGAGTTTCCTGGACAAACTACAAACAGATAAACCAGGTATGTCTCTTCCTTGGACCAATACAGCATTTAGACCAAACTTCTGTATCTTTTAGTAGGAACATCAGAATCTATGATGATTCGGTGAGTCAACGAGGAAATTTGATGAAAATTGATAAAGGATCTGCATTCCCACACTGACATGTAGTGGTGCAAGTAGCACTCAGAGTTTGGTTGTTTTGATAATTGCCTGCTCAATAGAGGCTATTTGCAAAGGGAAAACTTTCTCTACAATGATTTGTCCCAACTTAAGTTTGAGGGTTTCAGGGAAGAAACTTGGACATTTGTTCTCAGATTCCTTTTCATGGTAAGTAGGATATGACTCATTTGATGTTAATATCAATTTGATATCACTGCTGATGAACTTAGTTTTATGATGTTCATTTTCTCCATTTCTGGAGCATCTCTCTGAGGAGCATGAAATTCCTGAAACATAGCATAAGTAGTGCTTTTTACGGTGACTACATTTGCCTTTCCATTGAGCTTGGTTATTATTATTATATGAGCACCAAAATGTTCTTTGAGAAACATCTGTATTATGTCAATCAAATCATCAACTGTGATTTGCTCATCACTGTTTTTTCTTGAGAAACTTGGTAACCTCAAGGGATGCATTTGTGCTTTCCTCATTGTGTGGCTGCCCAATTTCTCCTCACTTTTGAACATTTTGTTCAGTATCATAAATCTGTTGGGATCTACTTGTTCATCTGGAAATTGACACTGCATGCCTTTTGATACAAACTTTAGCAACAGGTAGGTCATGTGCATGTAAAATTCTAGCCCGGATAGTGTCAGACCATCTTGTCTTTCACAGCAAATTGTAAGGACTATATCCTTGAGGCCAAGGTTTGTAAATGTTAGGGCATCTGAGTGCTTTCTTTGCTCCAACCTTTGTTGGTAAGCTACAGAAAAGGCGGTCTTTGTTAAATCTAAAATTTTGTTCTTCTATTCAAAGCACATACTTGCTAGGGCCCAACCTAGAATTGTATTCCTGTCTATTAACTCTGGTCATCTGGTATGGGTTACAATAATAATGGAGTACAGTATTGATACTGTTACTCCATTATTCATTGACCTTGTTAATATCCACACTATCTTTCTCCATCCAAATGTTCTTCAGATGACACAATCTGCTCATTTAACTATACTAACTTGAATTTGTACAATCAGAAATAAAAAAAAAAAGTTAGATCATTGTTCTACCTGTATTGGGTGAAAAGTTATGATTATTTGTATTATAGATGGTGGCCATTTTGCATTTTTTCATTTTGTTAGGGTTTTTACTCGAACAAAATTCCCTAAGACTTTTCATATGTTATTGAGGGCATATTCCTGAGATTAAAATGGCTGAGCAATTAGTATAGATAAAACCTCAGAATGACTGGTCTGTTTGGGGTTATGGATATGCTATAAGAGTAAAAGTCAAATCCAGTTATTTGATTACACAAGAGCTGGTGGTGGGTACTGTTAACTAGCTGTCTTTTCATTAGTCTATCCATTCAAAATTATGGGTGGCTGTGTGAAGATAACCCTTATATATCTTTGAAATATTTGAAACACAGTGTTTTATTTACACACCAAACTTTATTCATTTATTATAGGTTCTCTCTCTTGACTTTTGTCATGAAAATAATTATAATTTATGTATGATTGAAAATAAGTGATGAATATAAAGGTTACTATATTTTCTATAAAATGAATTGAGAGTACAGAAACACATTTTAAGGTTTAAATAATATATATTGTTTAATGTGAAAAAGAACAATAAATGTAATTATATAGAATAGTGATATATGTATAATGGAAATAGAAAAGGGTTGTTCAAGAAAGGTAGTGTGAAATGATAATACTTCTAAAAATACTAATTATTAAAAACGAACAACTCTGCATATATTGTGTAACCAGCCAGTTCAATGTTTTGTTTGGGAGTTTTTAATACTTAATATTTAATTCTTCCGTTTAAAGGATGGTTTTAATTGATATAATTCAGTTGTACTTTTTTTTTTAATATTTAGAAACCGCTTTACCTAATATTTGGTTTTTGTAGCTGTCACTAGATGGAAGCACGTTAGACGGTGTCTGGCATTGACAGTTTATACATCATTAGTGCTGTCATTTAATAATACCTATTTATTTCAACTTTCATTGGTAGATACAATGCTAGAAACCTGGTTTCGACACCCGTGGTGGGCAAAGCACAGATATCCCATTGTTTAGCTTTGTGCTTAACTACAAAGAAACAAACTCAATGGTAGAAGAATCATAGTTACTAACCTTTAAGTAATTCGGGTTGCTAACCTAATTAATATCGTCGAAAAACAGTTGCAGTTAGGTGCAGCACACTTTTTTTTATTCATTCTTTGTATAAAAAAAAGTATAAATGGCGAAATAAGTTCAGTAATTCCTCTGATAAAAAAAAAAACTTGTAAAGGAATGTAAGCAAGTCGTAATTCTCAGCTGTAACAACTCTGCTTTTAATGGGAAGTTATTTTTAACTTATGGGCTGAGAATATAGCATCAGAGTAAGTGATGTTTGCAGACTTACAACGCTATACGCCGGGTTTCAATGCCCGCGGAGGGCAGAGCACAGATAGCCCATTGTGTAGCTTTGTGCTTAACTTCAATCAAACAAAGAAACAGAGTAAGTGAACTGAGGTAATATTGGCTCTTAATTTTCGGGGTGGATCGGTAAATATATGCAATAGAAGTATTGAACTTCATTAATTAAAGCCACTAAGGCTAAAAACTTGAGCTGGGCATGGTCTAGTGATTAGCTTTTTGGTCTGAATATCGGAAGCTCTAATGTTCGAGCTTTAATATTATTCTTTACATGTTCTGCTCTTTCAACTGAATGGACGTTATAACCGTGATACTCAATCCTGCTAATCGAGCAAGAGTAGGCAGCGGATGCTGTTGAATAGTTGCCCCCTTCTTCCGGTCAGTAATTCTAAATGATAATTGGCTGTGTCGAAACTTCAGGGGTCTCTGGTTTGTTTGTTTTGAATTTCGCGCAAAGCTACACGAGGGCTATATGCGCTAGCCGTCCCTAATTTAGCAGTGTAAGACTAGAGGGAAGGCAGCTAGTTATCACCACCCACCGCCAACTCTTGGGCTACTCTTTTACCAACGAATAGTGGGATTGACCGTCACATTATAACGCCCCCACGGCTAAAAGGGCGAGCATGTTTGGTGTGACGGGGATTCGAACCCGCGACCCTCAGATTGCGAGTCGAGCGCCTTAACCACCTGGCCATGGGGGTCTCTGGTCTACCCATTTAGATCATGTGCCGCTTAATGTGACGTTCGTATAAAAAAATATCACATATGTTAAAACTTCTTAAAAAAACAACTACTAAAATAGACAGTTTGTATAAAACGAAAGCTTTTCGATTGGGCGTTCATAAAAGTAGTTTAAGTTGGCGCTAATAAACATTAATCTCAAAATTTCTATGTAAAACTCAAGTGACCACAACAGTAAATGAGTTTAAAATGTTAACCAAAGTTGTACTAGTTCTTGGGAACCTGATGATTAAAAAGGTATGTAGGACTCGTACTTAAAAATTACCATTTGTAATTTACTTTTTAAAATCAACATGATTAGGAAGTGACCAATAAATATGACTCAAACATTTTAAATTTGTTTGTAAAAGCAAAGAGTGAACTTGTGAATATATTAGGTGAATAGGTCGTCAAGAAATTAATGTCGCGTTTTGGAACACTACCATTACCCCCCCCCCCAAAAAAAAACAAACAAAAAACAAAAACGTACATCACGTATAATAGTTAGTGTAGCCTATATAATGTGTAAAATTTAGTATACTCTAATCGCTTATAGTGATGGCACACGACGAGACACACATTCGGCATGTAATGCTGTTTGAATATAAGAAGGGAAACAACGTCTCTATAGCCACAAAGAATATTAAAGAAGTTTATGGAAATGTCAACGATGGTTCAGCAAATCTCGTTTTGGAGACTTTAGCCTTAAAAACTGTGATGGCGTTACCGACATGTTGGAATTGATATTGATGCTCTGAAGATGCTTCTTGAGTCTAACCCAAGGCAACACACTCGTAAAATGGCCTTGAAATTGCATGCCTCTCATAAAACAATACGTAAACATATAAAGAATATGGGAAACTCCATAAAGAAGGTCTTTGGGTGCCTCTTCGGTGATCATCATTTCCAACGTGTGAAGGCTGCTTCGTCTCTTTTGTTGCATAATGCGTGTGAACCATTTTTGGACAGAATTATCACCGGTGATGAAAAATGGATTCTCTATGCGAATATTAAACGCCAAAAACAATGACTCAGTCCTAGACAAAAACCACTTCAGACCCCAAAACCTGGACTCCATCCGCAGAAAGTGATGCTTTGCATTTGGTGGGACATCAAAGGAGTAATTCATTTTGAACTTTTCGATCCACAGAGATCTATAGTCAGCAACTGGAACATTTAAAGCAAGCCCTTCATCAGAAACACCATTGACTTGTCAATTGGAAAGGTGT